AAGCTGACCTTCGACCCCCGCACGCCCCCCGCCACCCCGGTGCCACCGGCCCCAGGCTGTCTGAGCAACGCGGCGCTAAGAGGCAGCCGGGAAGCCCAGGCGGACCCGCTGTGCGCGGGAGATCGCGGAGATTGGGCCCGAGTCAGGGCGCGATCGGATTTCTCCCTGTCAGGCAGAGCGCTGGCGAGATTGTAAGATTCCTGACACCGGCGAGGTCCGAGGCAGCCGCGGAGCCGGCGGGAGCCCACGCCGAGGAGCCAGCGCGTCCCCAACACGCGCCCAGACCTCACGGTGCGGGCCCCGCGGGCGCCGGGCAGCCTGACCCGCGCCCCGGGCTGATAACGCGTAACCGGAGCGCCGGCACGCGCCGGCAGGCCGCCTCGGAGTGGCCGCGGCCCTGCCCGCTGGCTGGGGGCCCGCGGCAGAGGCCGCGCGGGGCGACCGGGTCCCTTCCCTTCGCGGCGCCGCCCGACCCTTCCCTCGACAGGAAACCCGCGTGTCCACGGGCGACTGGCCTGCCTCTGCCCGCCAGCGAGGTGACGCCCGGTCTCTACCTGGTCATCCTCAAAAATGATTTTGGCTGGGATTTCCTTGCGAATGATCTTTCCGAAGATCGTGTCGCCACCAGGCCGGGCGGCCTGAGCCTTGGCGATCTCATCAGCCATCTCGGCCTCCCTCCCGCGCGGCCGCCCCAGGGAGAAGCTCCGGAGGAGGGAGGAGCCGGGGCAGCGGGCAGAGGGCGGGAGTGCGCGGCCAAGCCTGCGCGGGGACCGCTGCTCGGGCTCCCGAGCAGGTCCGGCGCGTGCGCACTGGCGACCTGAGCTGTGGGGTGCAGCGAGCGCGCGGGAGCCTGTAAGAACCGCCCGACTAGACCCGGCGGAAGGGAGGTTCCTGTTCGGAGACTCTAGGGAGCCACATCAAGGTCATTTTTCTTTCTTCCTTTAGTGTGTCTTGGGGAGTGGAGTTACTGTATACGCCCTTCTTCCCTTGCTTTATGGGCACGTGTAGGAAAAAGTAGGTACTGTAACTGAAAAGATTTGATAATCCAAGCATGTTTGCTGTATGAGACACTGTACCACGTAATTTCTCAGCCACAGAAAGTCTTGGCTCCAGTAAGTAAGCCCTCCTTGCGTCAGTTTTTTTCTCCCTCTAGCAGTGGTTCGCACAACATGTTAAAAATCACTTGAGGAACTTTTGAAAAATCCTCTTGAATCTGGCCTCACTCCAGATCAATTAAATCAGACTCCCAGGTTGGGACCCAGGCATCAGTAGTTTGTAATCCTCCCAGGACTCTTCTACAAAGACTTTTTCCCAGAAGTAATCAACATAATGTAAGATGCTCCACCTTAAAGGAACAATGCCTTTCTTAACTTGACATACCCCTTCAAATCTTTGCTGCCTTCTAAAAGTTTTATTTATTCTGTGTCCACCCTCTCATATTTTTTTTTAACCCATTTCCCTCTTGCAATGTCACTAAGGAAGTCCCACTTATAAAATTCTGTTGGCATTTACAATTCTCATCATACTAGACCTCTTGGTATCATTTGCTACTGATGACCATTTCCTCTTTTCAGGTATAGATTTCACTCTCCTAGTCTTCTCTTACCTCTCTGGATGCTATTTCTCCTTCACAGTAACCCTCCAGTTCCAGACTTCTCAATGGGTTCCGTTCTTAGCCTTCTTCTCTAGCTAATATTTAATTTCTACATATCGTTATTAAGAAAAATTAACTATAGCTCCAGGACTACTTATGTGATTATACTTTACCAGTTTGTATTGCTTTGTCCACTACCAATAAAAAATCCTGATAGTAGATCCTTCGAATCTCAAGTGTCCCATTTGCTACTTTTGCTATCAACAACATTATTGGGGCAATTGGCAAAATCTAAGTAATGCCTATAAATTGGATAGTAATTTTGAAAGTTATATTAATTTCCTCACATAACCACAGCAAAATTATCAAAATTAGTTGATATGGGATGGGGTCTTATAATTCAGGTTTCTAAGTGATGTATTTGCTGCTGGCCCTGAAATCATACTTTGAGACCCACTGATGTAAGAGACTGACCTTTTTGTAGAAATAAAAAAACACTGAAGTATTTAGGCGTATAAGGCTATCATGTCCGCAGCTTGGTTTCAAACAGTAAAGAAATGAAGAAAAATGTTCATATATAGAGACCTAGAAAAGGATAACACCATTTGTAGTAAAATGTGAACATTTGGGGAATCCAAGTGAGACATGCAAATCCTGTTATACTTGAAACTTTCTTGTAAGACTGAAATTGTCAAAGTAGAAAGTTAAAAAGAGATATATACTGGTTTGGATAATAAATATGGTCATCTTTCACTCAGATTTTACCATATACAGAATAATGATTCTCTAGTATGTATCTCCTGACCTACCTTACCTCTTAATTCCAGATTGGTCTATAGTATATATATATAGTATATATATATATAGTATATATAGTTTGTATATATATATAGTATATATAGTATATATATATATAGTATATATATAGTATATATAGTATATATATATAGTGTATATAGTATATATTACTACTCACTATCTTAATATGGATGTCTGGCACTTCAAATTTATATTTTTACTCTTTGCACAGTAAACAAACACACAAAACTCCTCTTGGCAGCATTCTACATCTACTATAATACCATTCATCAAATTGCTCAAGTCAAAAGCCTTGAAATCATCCTTAACTCTTCTTTCTCATATTTGCAGTATATATCATACATCTAATCACTCCTCACCTCTTCTACTACATCACCCTAATCCAAGCCATTATCATATCTTGCCTGGAGTACATTGAGAGTCTCCTAGCTAGCCTCTCTGCTTCCTCTGTAGTCAGTTTGCCATTCAGCACACAAAGAAATTTTTATAAAATACCAATCATGATGTCATTCTCCTGCTGGCAAGGCATTTCATCACAGAATTAAATCTGAAATATTGGCCTTGACACATTAGGTTCTTATGCAATCAGGCCCATGGCTACTTCTTCATTTCCTTCCATTTCAACCTTATTAACTAGCTTTACCCCAACTGGGTGTGGTAGGCAGAAGATGTCCTTGCCCTAATCTCTGGAGCCTATGAATATGTTACTTTACGTGGTAAAAGGTATTTCCAAATGTCATTAAATTAAGGATCTTGCAGTAGAAGAGATTGCCTGGATTGTGCAGGTGGGCCCAGTATAATCACAGGGACCTTTGTAAGTGAAAAAGAGACACAGGAAAGAGAGGAGATATGATGATGGAAATAGAGGTGACAGTCAAAGATTGAAGATGCTCTCCTGTTGGCTTTGAAGATGGAAGGGACCACAAACAGGTAGCATTCCAGAAGTCACAAATCTGAGTTTCACTGGGCTAAAATCATGGTGTTATCAGGGCTGCATTCCTTCTAGAGTCTCTAGAGAAGAACAGTTCCCCTTCCTTACCTTCTAGAGGGTACCGGCATTTCTTGGCTTGAGGCCTTTTCCTCTATCTTCAGAGCCAACAGCAGAGTATCTTCAAACCTCTCCCTGTCTCTCCTTCCTTTTTCCACTTCTAAGGATCCTTGTGATTACATTGGGCCCACCAGACAATCCAGGATAATTTTCCCATTTCAAAAGCCTTAATTTAATCACATCTGTAACGTGCCTTTTGTCATATAAGGTAACATCTTCAGAAGTTCCTAGGATTTAAACACTACACCTTTTGGAGTCCTTCATTCTGCCTACTGTATAACTGCATGAACTTATGTGAGGAACAATTTGGAATTTCTTGTTCAGTTCTGGGTCCCATACTTTGAGATGTTACCAAACTCATACTCCTAGAATAACCAATATAGTCACCTCATTTATGGAACAGCTGAACAAACCATACAGATTTATCTGAGAGAAGCTTTAGTACTGAACCGATTAGGGCACTATGGGAACTGTATTTTCAAGTATTGGCAGGTGAGGGGGTTTGCTTAACTGAATACAGGACCCTAGTTAGCCAGAAATTATAACAATAAATTACGAATTTTCAGGAAACTGCTATGATTCTAAATTGGAAATAAAGAAAAGCATGTTTCAATCATTCTTTACAAATCAGAAGGCAGAATCATGTAGTGTCACTAGATCATCTATTGTTTCCTGGATATTTTTCCTGTTTCCAGTATATTTGGTTTAATTGCTTGGTTATGTTAAACACTCATCTGCAGATCTAAGGAATTATAATAAAAAAAATCAACTATTATCTTGCTAGTCTCATGATGATTTGCAATATTCTTTAAAATGACGTAAATCACAGAGAAGGAAAAAGGTCTTTAAGATCCACTGCTTCAAATCTTTCATTCCTAATAAAAAGTCGGTTTTAACTAAACGTTAACCTGAAAGGCTGTGAGGTAGGGAAGGCAAACAGCGATTATGCAATGGGGGAAAGGTTTAGATTTTTCTTGAAGCTTGCAAGGTCCTAAGTTAAAATGTACTTAAATAACATTTCCGACCTCTTGACCAGCAAAACCAAGGAGTAGAGTAAGCCAAGCAGAATGTGTCGAGGGTAAGACTGGATTTTCAGGTGCAACATAGGGTTTGGTATCCCAGACCTCTATTTACTAGCCGTATGGTCTTGATTAAGTAACTATCTCACCTTTTCGGGGAATTAATTTAGACAAGCGCTTTGGGGCATCAGCATTCCAATCAACAGCCGCTGTAGTAGTTAGGGTTTGGCCCTTATTTACGCACATTTTCGCAACTAGGAAACGTTAACATAAGTGTTCTTTAATTGATAAATCCAACCCCCAAACAACAGGTATAACGTATCGATCCAGAAACCATCCACTAAACGTAACGGACTCTCTCCGAGACCGGAAGTGACTCTGCCCCTAGCTAACATGGCGTCCAGGTAATTTCCGTTCTCCTCTCTCCGGTAATTGAGCTCGGCACTTTCTCGCGGTTTTACCAGACTGCGGGAGTTTAGCAAACTGTCTTCCAGGGGCCTCTGTGGGGGCGGGTTATGAAGGGGATTCTGCGCAGTGATTGGTTGCGGCACGATAGGAACGTGACTTCAGGTAGTTGGATAGTCCACGCCAGGCAGTGATTGGTTGTCGAGAGGCGTGGTGACTCGACCACTGAAGAAGTAGCCGCCGCGGCGCGGAGAGCCATGGGTCAGGCGGCCAAGGTGACAGGGTCCGGGGAGGGCATGGGTACGATAGCGACGGGGAGGGAAAGCGGCGGCCTTGCTAAGCTTGTCTGTAACTTCAGTAGATACGGGTTTAGGATCCTTCACGGAGGATGTGAACGTTGCCGCTGTGGACCCCGGTGACCAACCCCGAAGGGCCGTCGAGGTTTTGTGCTGGTGCGGAGGGAGGGCAACACCAGTGCTTCCCCCCTCTTTTTCTGGGGTGCCAAAGTATGTGTTTCTAAGCCATGCAAGGCTGCGCTTGAGTTCTGCCCCTGTTTCATCCCCACACTGAACGTTTGAGGGACCACTTTTACATCCTTGAAAGGTGGACGAAACGCCAAATGCACTCCTGCGCCACAACCATCCGATGAGATGAGATGAAAAGTTCAGTCAGATAACCGGAAAGTACACTGAAGTCTGGGAACCAAGGAAACCGAGGACCCTCAGAATCATTTGTCAAAAATTAACACCTGAGGAGACAACAGAATCCTGTGAGACCTGAGTGCTCTGAATGAGCTTGGGAAGTGATGGGCCCACCAGGCACTTCGCTGAAGACCTGGTCTCAGATTCATTTCTCCTTAAAATGATAAAGGTTCCTGGCTGGGGCACACTTCTCAAGACTAGCCAGTCCTAACCTTAAATAAGAGCGTGACCTGTTGGGGGCTGTCACTGTTGCTGCAGTATAAGCCTGGAAAGGTGTAGTGAGGAAAAGCACTGCTTATAGTTGGTCAACAATAAGGAACAAACAAGCGGTGCCTCGTGTTTTAGTGAATTTGGTGTTCCTACTACATTTTAGTATATGTCACAGCACCAATAGAAACAATTTTAAAGAATTATTCAAATGATTTATTGCATATCCATTATAGCTATCAGTAATGCCTTCAAGCCAGCATTTAGCCCTGTACAGTGTCTAGGCATAGTGGATGCAAGATAAACAGACTATCTTTGCTTCGTAAAGAAATCTAGCAGATAGGAAGATTTCGAATGGAAAATACAGTGTATTTTGTGAGCTTATTACTGGCATTTAACCTCTAGAGGGACGCAAAAAAATACATGTCATAGAAGTAGAAGTTGACTCCTGAAGTTTGATTAGAAATTTGCTAGGAGGGAAAAAAAATTGATAGGTGAAGAGAGAAAAGAATATTCCAGAAAGAGGAAGTACTATATGGAAAGTCATTGAAGTGGGAAGTTGCTTGAAAAACTTTAATACAAAATAAATTAAATAGGATTCATTCCAAAAACACTTTTGGGAAGATCTACCATGTATAGAAGGTACTTATGGTAAGTGTGAAGAATACAAAAGTGACCAAGAAGTCTTTGAGGAAGTATGGGACCACAGCAAGTAAGCATTTGGTTAACATACAGTGTGGGAGGTACCCAGTGCTGTGGTTGTCCCTCAGGAACATATAACCCAGACGTATAAAGGACAGGTAAGTAATGACTATCTAAAGAGAAACCCAGGGGTGCCTGGGCGGCTCACTTGGTTAGGCATTTGACTTTGGCTCAGGTCATTATTTCTTCGTTCGGGAGTTCAAGCCCTGCATGGGGCTCTCTGCTGTCAGCACCGAGCCCACTCTGGATCCTCTCTCTCTGTCTCTCAAAAACAAACATTAAAAAAATTTTAAGGGAAACCTGGTTCCGAAAATTTCCCATATACTCTTAATATTAATCCATTATAAGAAAATTGAGACAAAGGCTGAGTAACTTGTCCAAGCTTAAAATAAATGTCAATGTCCTATTCCAACTGATCTGCCTGTAACAAAAATCCACTTTCCATATATGCTACCTAAGTTATCTAATATAAGCAAATGAGGAAGACAACATAATCTGTAACTTAGTTTTCTTCCTTTTAATAAAAAAATTTTTAATATGAAATTTATTGTCAAATTGGATTCCATACAACACCCAGTGTTCATCCCAACGGGTGCCCTCCTCAATGCCTATCACCCACTTTTCCTTCCCTCCCACCCCCCATCAATCCTCTGTTTATTCTCAGTTTTTAGGATCCACGTAAGAGTGAAAATATATGGTATCTGTCTTTCTCTGTATGACTGATTTCACTTAGCATAACACCCTCCAGTTCCATCCAGGTTGCTACACAGGGCCATATTTCATTCTTTGTTATTGCCAGGTAGTATTCCATTGTGTTTATAAACCACAATTTCTTTATCCATTCATCAGTTGATGGACATTTAGGCTCTTTCCATAATTTGGCTATTGTTGAAAGTGCTGCTATAAACATTGGGGTACAAGTGCCCCTATGCATCAGTACTCCTGTATCCCTGAGGCAAATTCCTAGCAGTGCTATTGCTGGGTCATAAGGTAGACCTATTCTTAATTTTTTGAAGAACCTCCACACTGTTTTCCAGAGTCTTGCACCAGTTTGCATTCCCACCAATAGTGCAAGAGGGTTCCTGTTTCTCCACATCCTCTCCAGCATCTATAGTCTCCTGATTTGTTCATTTTGGCCACTCTGACTGGCATGAGGTAATATCTCAGTGTGGTTTTGATTTGTATTTCCCTGATGAGTGATGCTGAGCATCTTTTCATGTGCCTGTTGGCCATCTGGATGTCTTCCTTAGAGAAGTGTCTATTCATGTCTTCTACCGATTTCTTCACTGGATTATTTGTTTTTCAGGTGTGGAGTTGGTGAGTTCTTAATAGATTTTGGAAACTAGCCCTTTGTCCGATATGTCATTTGCAAATATCTTTTCCCATTCTGTCGGTTGCCTTTTAGTTTTGTTGATGGTTTCCTCTGCAGTGCAGAAGCTTTTTATCTTCATGAGGTCCCAATAGTTCATTTTTGCTTTTAATTCCCTTGCCTTTGGAGATGTGTCGAGTAAGAAAATGCTGTGGCTGAGGTCAAAGAGGTTTTCTCCTGCTTTCTCCTCTAGAGTTTTGATGGTTTCCTGTCTCACATTCAGATCCTTCATCCATTTTGAGTTTATTTTTGTGAATGGTGTAAGAAAATGGTCTAGTTTCATTCTTCTGCATGTTGCTGTCCAGTTCTCCCAGCACCATTTGTTAAAGAGACTGTCTTTTTTCCATTGGGTATTCTTTCCTGCTTTGTCAAAGATTAGTTGGCCATACGTTTGTGGGTCCAATTCTGTACTCTCTATTTATTCCATTGGTCTGTATGTCTGTTTTTGTGCCAGTACCATGCTATCTTGATGATTACAGCTTTGTAGTAGAGGCTAAAGTGTGGGATTGTGATGCCTCCCTCTTGGGTCTTCTTCTTCAATATTTATTTTGGTTATTCGAGGCTTTTTGTGGTTCCATACAAATTTTAGGATTGCTTGTTCTAGCTTCGAGAAGAATGCTGGTGCAATTTTGATTGGGATTGCATTGAATGTGTAGATTGCTTTGGGTGGTATTGACATTTTAACAATATTTATTCTTCCAATCCATGAACACGGTATGTTTTTCCATTTCTTTATATCTTCTTCAATTTCCTTCATCAGCTTTCTATAGTTTTCAGCATACAGGTCTTTTACATCTTTGGTTAGATTTATCCGTAGGTATTTTATGCTTCTTGGTGCAATTGTGAATGTGATCAGTTTCTTTATTTGTCTTTCTGTTGCTTCATTATTAGTGTATAAAAATGCAACTGATTTCTGTACATTAATTTTGTATCCTGTGATGTTGCTGAATTCATTATCAGTTCTAGCAGACTTTTGGTGGATTCATTTGGGTTTTCTATGTATACTATCATGTCATCTGCAAAAAGTGAAAGCTTGACTTCATCTTTGCCAATTTTGATGCCTTTGATTTCCTTTTGTTGTCTGATTGCTGATGCTAGCACTTCAACACTGTGTTAAACAACAGCGGTGAGAGTGGACATCCCTGTCCTCTTCCTGATCTCAGGGGGGAAAGCTCTCAGTTTTTCCCCACTGAGGATGATATTAGCTGTAGGCTTTTCATAGATGGCTTTTATGATGTTTAAATATTTGGGGCGCCTGGGTGGCGCAGTCGGTTAAGCGTCCGACTTCAGCCAGGTCACGATCTCGCGGTCCGGGAGTTCGAGCCCCGCATCAGGCTCTGGGCTGATGGCTCAGAGCCTGGAGCCTGTTTCGGATTCTGTGTCTCCCTCTCTCTCTGCCCCTCCCCCGTTCATGCTCTGTCTCTCTCTGTCCCAAAAATAAATAAAACGTTGAAAAAAAAATTTAAATATGTTCCTTCTATTCTGACTCTCGAGGGTTTTTATTAAGAAAGGATGCTGAATTTTGTCAAATGCTTTTTCTCCATCAATTGACAGGATCATATGGTTCTTTTCTTTTATTAATGTGATGTATCACATTAATTGATTTGCAAATATTGAACCAGCCCTGCAGCCCAGGAATGAATCCCACTGGATCATGGTGAATAATTCTTTTTTTATGCTGTTGAATTCTATTTGCTAGTATCTTATTGAGAATTTTTGCATCCACATTCATCAGGGATATTGGCCTTTCTTTTTTTGCTGGGTCTCTGTCTGGTTTGGAATCACAGTAATGGTGGCTTCATAGAATGAGTCTGGAAGTTTTCCTTCCCTTTCTATTTTTTGGAACAGCTTGGCAAGGATAGGTATTATTTCTGCTCTAAATGTCTGGTAGAATTCCCCAGGGAAGCCATCTGGTCCTGGACTATTTGTTGGGAGATTTTTGATAAGTGATTCAATTTCTTCACTGGTTATGGGTCTGTTCAAGTTTTCTGTTTCTTCCTGTTTGAGTTTTGGAAGTGGGTGGGTGCTTAGGAATTTGTTCCATTTCTTCTAGGTTGTCCAGTTTGTTGGCATATAATTTTTCATAGTATTCCTTGATAATTGCTTGTATTTCTGAGGGACTGGTTGTAATAATTCCATTTTCATTCATGATTTTATCTATTTGGGTCATCTCCCTTTTCTTTTTGAGAAGCCTGGCTAGAGGTTTATCAATTTTGTTTATTTTTTCAAAAAACCAACTCTTGGTTTCATTGATCTGCTCTACAGTTTTTTTAGGTTCCATATCGTCTATTTCTGC